CACTGTCTTCAGATAATCAATTCCAAGTTCAGAATTATTGTATCGGAAGTACCATTGCATCCCTTGTGTGTACAAGGCCTCGGGATTGTTCCACTCTATGCACCATTCCAAGAACTTGTACACTTCTTCATGTCTGCTCTGTGAAGTCAATGGGTCGACCCTTTCAAATCTTCGAATGCTGATGTGTTCGAAGATGCAGGTCATGTTGGACGAGTTGGTTAAACTTCTTGTACACCAATTTTGCTGAATATAAGGAATGTAAGGAGCAGGAACCAACCTTGTGAGTATTCCCAGAAGAAGTTCGTTTAGAAGAGATTGTATAAAAGTTGGGGTCGTTGTGCCTTTCTTCATAACTCTGCCTTTCTTCATAGTTTTCCTTTCTTCATCGTTCTGCAACTGAGGTGGTTTATGCTTGGACAAGCATGAATAAATACACCACCTATCATGCAACCCAAAAGTCATTCATGCACAATTTCATAATTAATTATCACAATTTCATAATTATGCCTATTTTTTTAAGATTCTTATTTGTGTATGCACAATAGCCAACTGTCATCACTCTTAATTCAAATAAACCTCGAGAACCCAACCACACACCAAAGCTATAGAACCAGTCATTGACTATTATTTGTGATTTTTTTATTCGTTTAGGGGACATGAAGATGTCGTGTGCATATACTGTGCATGTTCGGCGCATGGAATGTAAATTTTGTTTGCATGTCAATCATTCATGCACAATATTCAAAGAAAATAATAAAAAGATATGCAAGCATTGATGAGTGGGAAAAAGTGGCAGCAAGGTAGATCGATGACATGGTAATGATCACACATTTGGCTAGTTTTTTGTAATTATGCCTAATTTTTAAGGCTTGTTGTTTGTGTATTTGTACGAAAAAAAATTTATAAGCACAAAGTCAATAGAATTACAAATTCAGTAGTACATGAGAGACATAAAGGAAAACAAAAGGTTGTGTTGGAATTTAAACAATGCGATTACAACAAAATTAAATGAACAAAAAAAACAAACTTAGTACCTATCTCTACCACATAGTATATCACAAAATATATTCTCTTCCTAATGTTGTCTACAAGCATTACAAGTAGTGAATTTTTCATGGTCAAATGCATCCCAATGCATTTAGAGTGTGACCAGATCCTGTGGACTTCCATAGTTGTTGCAAGGTTTGGTGGCAGGGTTGTCATGGTAAAGTTTTAGGATTCGGGACCTTATTTCCCTATGCACCCAAAAACCCAACAAACACAGCTGAAACCTTTCTCAGCATTCCATTACACTAAACCATCCCGAGTTGTGACGGTTGAGAGAATAGAGAAGTTTGAGCCCTTCGTGCTTGAAATCCCACCCATGACACACCAACATCGCACCGTACATGTACGTTACTACTTGATGGCCCTCAAAGATTGCGCATTTAAGCCACTAAATTCTGGCTTCGTCCTGTTGTCTTGGAAGAAGTATTGCATCTCCACCATGTAGAAGGCCTCGAGGTTGCGGCACTGGATGCAGAGATTGATGAAGTTTGAGATTTTGTAAGACGCACCACATGATTTAAGGGGGTTAACGGTCTCAAAGTCTATAATATTGATGTGTTTGTAAATGTGAGGGCCTTCGGCTATTTCTTTGAACTTTTTCAAAACTGTCTTCGCCGAAAAAGGTCCCTTAACGAGTGGGAAGCAACGATGATGAGAATTTTGAGAAGAAGGTCGTCAAAAACAGATTGCATTGAGCTAGAGATGGCGCAGCCTTTGTTCATCATTTTCAACTTCTGGGTTTTTTTTTTTTTTTTTTTTTTTTTGGGAGGATGTAAGTTGAACTTGTGGTTTTGTAATGAAACACAGACCCACAAAATAGCTTAAATAAATGGAGAATAAGGGTCATTCAAACGGTGCAACTTCCCATGACAAAAATCTGTAATAATTCAAAAATAAACCACCAAATACCATTGTAGAAGTAAATTAATGATAATTGCCCTCCATATACACGGCATGCGCATTATATGCACAACGCATGGTCATTATGTACACAGACTATGCACATACTAAGCACATTGAATGATCTCCTATGGTCATGATATTCACATTGCACGGTGCATCTTGAATACTGAAAACATATAATCTGGAATTGGAAAAATTAACATTTTCTCAAACCTTTTTGGGTGAATTAAGTACCCACACAAAACATTAATTAAAACCCACTACTTTTGTAATATATTCTTATTAAACATTGAGAAATTCATGAGTTGACATGAGGAAAAAGCCCATTTTACACATATTGAATGCAATGCACACCTTAAGTAGGCTAGGACAAGACATGAGGGTCATGTACACCACATCTACACCGCATGTACCTTGTCTTGTCAAATTTCTAACTAGGTTGCCAACCAATACATTTAGAAACAAAGCATGGAAGGCAAAATTTGGTATCCAATTTGCACTTTTTTGTTTGGGATTTCACAAATATGAGGATGGTGCATTTTCAAATATATGAAACCCTTAAATAATGGGGTAAGTCTCATCCCTTTTGGTGCCTAGTCTTGAACAGAATCCCAAGGCCAACATGCTAATTCCAACTGGGTTTACAGTAATGTGTGGAAAATTTTGATTTTTGACATGGTACAATACTGGTTATGTTCTAATTTGTGTTTAAGTTCAACTGCAGAAATTTCACAAAATTTTCTTGATGTGTGCATACGACGTGCATATGTTCTACAGGATTCTTGCATAAGGTGTGCATTTCTTGGGCATGGCATATTATATGCATGTGCTATGCATATTATGTGCATTCTATGTGCATGGTATGTGCATATAACAAGGATACATAGTATGCATTTTATTATCATAAAATACTTAGCTAATACATTGCATAACAATAAAATTTCATATAATCACATTATGGTTGACGCGGTTCCTTTCCCTTCACTAGTCGATGAGAATCCTCAAAGCCTTTGTTACGTTCCTCCTCCATTTTGATATTTCCCTCCCGAGAACACTCGCATGACTCAATATGGCCCTGACAATTCTAGAACAATTCAAAATTTAGGAATATGATCATTTCTCCAAACATATTAGCCTTCGTTTTTTGCTTGCTTGCACAGTAGAGTGCTTTGTTGGCTTTACTGTTGAGATCCACATGCTCTTTTTCTGCCTTCATTAGCTTATGGTTCCAATACTCGGCGATGCCCATCTCATACTCAAGTCTCCCACGGACCTGATCTATACTTTTCAACGACGTCTCCGATTCTACAAAGCTAAACAATGACATAGGATTTGTCTTCGACGACCCCGGAAGTGGAGGACGTTCCATGTTGTACCACTCGTGGAACTCTGCTTTAAAGCCCTTAGTTCCATGTTGTGAATTGTTTTGGCTATCTGAAAAGTCTAATCTTTGAGGGGGGATTAATGGTTATTGCAACTATGTGTGAGAAGTATATTTATACACAAGTCTACCATCATGAGGATGAAATCAGTTGGGTAAAAGAAGGAATGTGTTAAAGGTGTTTATGTGGTGAGGATGTGATGCATGTGACCTTCAAAAGTTGTAAGAATTCCCACCATTGCTTTTTCATTCTCCAACTTGAACGATGCGTCCAAATGTTGTTACTTCATTTCCAACATAAAGGCTAGTGTGTTATCAAATCTCATCCCCTACATCATGTTGTGCATGGGTTGGTCTAGGCATGTCTAACTATTTTTGTGATGGTGGGGACTACACATTGATGGTTTCAACAAGACATGGGTTCAAAACTTGGAGGTTTTTACATCTTTTTCTTTGTTTTTTCTTTCTAAATCCATTGTTATGGTTTAACTCATCATTTGAGGGACCTTTTGAAACCGAGAACAACTTGTATATACTGATAACAATATACAAGCACAAGGAAAATCTTATGGAGATGACAAATGTACATGTCATGTGCATATTGTGTGCATGTCGTTTGTATATCGTGTACAATTTCTTTCACATTTAACTAAGACTTGTAATTCACAAATCTTTTCAAACAAACACCCATTCCAGATTGAATTCACAAAAATTTGCAAGTTCATAACAAAATTAACAAATATTGAGCATTTTGTAACAAACCCACAAGCTAAATCCACCAACACAACTCCATGAATCTTCAATACCCTAAACAAAAATTAAAACGCAAAACTCTAAGATTGAAACCCATAATCTAAAATAACAAAACCCATAAACAAATAAAGATTTTCAGAACACATTTCAAGCCCTCTCTTCCACATCCCTCTTTTGTTCGACTTCCCATCTCTGCAAATTCAAAAAACATAATTGAACAAACAAGTAATTAGTTGCATAAGTGGAGACAATGACCGAGTTAGAGAGAGAAAGAGATGAGAGAGAGAGCTACGAAGCTTCACTGGCCAGAAAGAATGGATCTTTCCGGCCAAAACACAAACTTTGGTACAAAAATCATATCTTTAAGGATGGAACACTGATGCAAACGAGAAACTCTCACTTCAAAGTCTCACTCTCAACTTTCCTCTTTATGAAATTAGAGCTTAGAGATATGAGCCCAACCTAGAAACCCAGAGCTCTCTTGGCATGTCTCTCTTCCAATTGACAAAAATGATGGAATGAAGTGAGGATTTTTAGTATTTATATGTGAGCATTTTGGTAATTTCGATTTTGTGCATTGGTGTGCATGGCCGGCTTGTTCTATTTTTGTCCAAAGATTAAGAAATTATCCAATTTTAGAATATTTTCCATAATTTTTTTCTTAATAGATCGAAACGGGTTACCCACGAGTTACCCGTCAACGAGTTCTTAACAAATGATCCAATAACAATCCCATTGGTTAGTGCTGACCCAAAACCCGGTCTAAACATATATAAGATATGTTGTTTCCATGAACTCCTTGAAAGTGATTGCAAGTCTGCAGAACGAAATTTTATTGGCTCCAAGAAATAGCAATAGACCATGTTCCGACCGGCGCCGATTATAAAGCGTCCTTGTTCCACCGTTCTGATGAAAATTCAGAGTACCAATTGCTTTTATAACTTCAGGATTATTGAACAAGTACAAATCCAGCAGAAAACACATACATTATTATTGCGACCTATTCACCAACATATACAAATGATTCGAACAAGTTCAAATCTAGCTCACCAAAATTCTGGTTCAAACACTAGGCGCTTTATCGACATCGGGGAGAAAGAAAATGTCCATGCGGTAAGACAACCACCAAACTACGAGTATTAGACTAAACACAATTAGTACCAACCGCATCTTCATTCGGGGTCTGGAGGAGCTCTATCTCTTTTGCTGGTACAACTGGAGGAGCTCTATCTCAGTACGGTGGTGGAGGATAAAGTCCAGGGAAAGGCCCTGATCAAAGAGCGTACAACAGAAAATTAGTATTTGATGAATCATATTAGCGGCCAGAACTAAGAAACAGAAAACAAAACAATAAAAATGAAAGAGCTTACTTGGAGGATAGGGTGAGGATTGCGGGGGTGGGGGATATGTTGAAGTCGGTGGGTATGGTGGGGGAGGATAGGCAGACGGAGTATGGCCATACGCCGGCGGAGGGGGACCATATGCAGATGGTGGATACCCTGCTGAATTAGGCGAGTACGAAGGATAGGGAGATGGAGCTGGGTACCCTGCTGGCGCTGGTGGGTAAGGTCCAGGCGCCGGTGGTGCATAATGACCTGCAGGTGGGGGGGTTGAATATAGATAAGCTTGTGATGCATGTGGTGCTCCATATGGTGGTGCAGATGGAGCATAGCTTGATGCTGGTTTCTGCAGCAACCCAAAGACAGTAGGTCAGCCGGACAGATAATTAGCATGACTATATACAAGACTGTTCAAAAGTCACGCCGTTATAGTGAGAGAAGGTGCAACTTACATTGGTCTTCGAATAATGCATTATGAGCCGCACTTCTCCTCCATATCTACCATGAAAAAGAGTTTGTGTCAGAAGTCAAACAATTTCAAAACACAACAGAATAAATCTAATTATAGGAAAGAGATGTAGTTACTAGGACGGTTTGTTTAATTAACTTTCTAGATGCAAAAACCAAACCACATCTGTAAGATGGAAAGACAAAACTGGTACTCAGAAGGATGAAATGTATTGCAAGATCTTCAATCAAATTCCCAGCCCTTTTTCCTTCTTTAGCCCAGATTGTAAATTACTACTCTAGTTAATACAAGGGATATATATCGCTCAACTTATAACCTCATATCCTAGCCTACCCTTCCTAAGGTTCTCAATACTACATACAAGGAAGGTAAATTAATTCCCTCCTTTTTTTTATTCCCCTTTGTATTTTACAGAACATAAAGAATACGATAGTGAATGATTGCACAGCCCGTGTTTGAGCTGTCTGAGAATAGATAGATGGAACACAAAACCATATGAAAGTCATTTGAGTGAATTCATATTCTCACATCATACTATTTGTGTGAGTGGAGACTGAGTATTGAGTGGAGACTGCACGATCTGATGACAAAGAAATAATATTGTATATTAGGGACATCAATCTACTTAGAGGGTGTCTCATTTAGGCCACTTGATGATCACTAATGTTGCAGCATAAACACAGAGTGCTTACACATAATTCACTCAATGAATGTTTGCTCCGAAAACACAGGGTGCTTAGCATGGTCTATTCACAAGCCAACAATGAATAGCTGTTTCGCGTAATGCAATGCAGACCCAAAATTAATCTTTGATTATCATGAAAAACAAATATGAAGAACCAAATCAAGGGATGTAATGTGATGTTGATGCAGAGAAAAATTATCTACGGCTTCATATACATGATTAACACATACAATCCAGACGGGAAGAAAAAGGAAAATCATGCATGAAGATCACTGACTTGAGCATGTATAGTACACACAACCACCTCCTTATTGGATAATTTGAATCAATTAGAGATGGAACAAGGTGCAACAACAATTTGCTAACACTAATAGAGACATAGGAGTTGAAAAATAACACCTATATTATAATCCAACCATTTAGAATTAGATAGATCAAATAAAAAGCAATGAGATGAAAGTTATGTAGTTACCGGCCATGTTTAGTCTGAAGCTGCCATGTGCTGTCGTCATAACCCTGAGTAAGAACCTTCTGAAGTTGAACCCTAAAATTCGAAACACACCAAATAACGGAAATCAGCAAACTCAAAATTTCAGAATAACCAAAAGGGTCTCTAAAATTATGCCGAAATCAATATATCAAAGCATATTGGTTGAGAATTTCATACTTTCCCTCGCCAATGAAGTCGTCCAATGTGACACTATTGCTATTCCAGACCAGAACATTGAGTTCCCTAAGACCTTCAATCAGCGGAAACACGAACTTCTCTTGGAATGTGGGATTTTTACCACCATCTATACCAATAATTACAACATGGGTTTGAGTCAAAATTCGGATCTAAATCTCCAGATTGCAAGAACAACATAAACCCAGAAATAAAAACTAAAATTTAAGCCAAATTAACCAAGTAAACAGGGTTTAATTCGGCAATTACCTGTGCATGTTCTGGTGCGGTGCTTGTTGTGGGCATATTCAAGACAGACATATGGGTCCTGCCGAGAAATCCATTCCGTATCTCTCAATTTGTTACAACCAACAACTGCAACACCACCAGATAATCAAAACCCATATCACAAAAACTCAAAATTTGAGAAAACAAAAGCAGAAAACGGAAGAAAAACAAGAAAATTTTGATGGGTTATCTTATAATTTGACACAAAAAATAATGGCAAATTGAAATCATACCAGTGACTTCAAGAAGCTGGCCTTGAATTCCAGAAATCGACATGAAGGAATAGTCAGGAGGCAACGATGAGTCGTATGGTGCAGATGATGAAAGTTCAAATCTTGATATGTCTCTCCAAAAGGTGTTGCACGTTTTATACAAATCCAATTCCGCGTTTTTTATTTCTTGAAATTTTTATTACTTTTTATTAAATTCTTAAGCATGGTGGGGTAAAATTAATATAGACACTTTAATTGTGATTGGCGGAGGGTTTCTGTGGTGTTTCGTTTTTTAACTTTTTTTCCAGTTTCTGTGACTTGGAGGAAAGGAACGAACATTGTATGAAATCTCAGTTTCAGAGACGGAAAGCGCGTGGAATAGCAAGACTTTCCGTGCTTCGATTAAATGGATTTTGTTTAATGGATTTTGTTTCCAGTCAGCTTAATATTTTTCATTTTTTTTTTAACAAACGATATTATATATAAAAAATAAAGTAGACGGGCATTTATCAAAATATCACTAAAATAGACACAAATATCCTTAAGCTTTAAACCTAATAAATTAAAAAACGAACTCTATTAGATGAAGAGTTCTCACTACTAAACCTAAAAAATGGTGGAGACCTAGTAAAAGCATCAACTGTTGGTGGATACTTGTGCACCCCTAAACAAAGGTGAGTGTAGATGGTTAATTTGTTTTTCATTTTTCATCATCTACGTTTTCTCTTTGCTTTTGCAGTTTCTTCCTTCAATTGAATATTTATAGAATAATTAACTATCAATTTTTGTAACATTATTTATCTCAATTTTCCTTTGGATTATATGTGCTTTGTATTTAATTTCCACACCTTTGTATTATTAAGGGCGCTTTTCTTGTCTAGATTCTATTTTGAAAGTTATCATTGATTGTAGTAGTGAATTGAGAGATCTGTTGTGTTCTTAGAAAGTGCAAAAAGCACATTTTTAAGGTTTACGGAATAGAAATTCTTCTAGTACATATTAGAAAAATTATGTTTCTTTTGTCAAGGGAAGATTGACGAACCTAATACCATTTGCCGATCTATTAGAGGAAAGCTAATTGAAATTCATTTAGTGCATATTAGAAAAATTAGAGTTTACGATATAGAAAATTTTCTTTTTTTGTGTTTTTATTCTTCTTATTTTGGTCTACAAATTCTCAATTAATTGTACTAATAAAAGAAATGAGAAAAATATTAGGGAAAGCACCACTTGATTATCTCACAAGAGTATTTTAATCAAAAACTAGTTATTTGTATGAATTAAGGTTATTTGTGTCTATTTAAGGGAGATTTTGAATATATTTGAATTTTTTTATAAAAATTGACATTTTTTAAAATTAGGGGCTAATATTTGGCTATATTTGATAAACACTTAAGGTAGACTGAGCCTCACAATAGACTAATAATAATATGGTTCATATTCACTTCTTTTTTACAATAATCGAACTTAAAACTTCGCACTTACAATTGAAGAAATACACTATATCGTAGTACTAAATGGCTTACAAATCGGCATAATTTACTCGCAAAAGATTGATTTACTGCTACAAGAAGACCGGGCGGACACACTGGAATTTAGGACATAGGATTAGGAGGACACAAGGAAAGACAAAACCCCTTATAATTAGGAATTTAGGATTTAGGACAAATGAATTTATTACCATTGTCGGTGATTAATCTTTTCATTAGGAAAAGCTTTGATTTGAAACTTAATCCTAAAGAATTCCTCATAAGCGTTGGTTGGGCTATTCTTGTCACGTGAGTGTTCTAAAAATCAGTATAGGTAGCTGCCTAGGCTCCTAGGCGTTAGGCAATGGTCAGCTGTTAGGATTGACCTCTAGTCAGGAAGAAAATCGGAGAAGGGATTAGGCAAGCATCGAGAGAGTCTGGGCGGCACTTGGGCAGCCTAGGCAGGCCACTTGATGGCCAAGGCAGTTTGAGCATTTCGATTCCTTTTTCTGTTGTTTTAAGTGAGGAATGAGAAATGTAGAACTTTTTGGGTTATGAACTCCAACGAAGAAGATGAGAGGAAGAAGAAGAGAGAAAATTGAGTTTCTCTCTCTTCGATTCTCACTCCACGTGGCCACTATCAGGTCTCAATGTTCCATGTTTAATATATTTTAAACTACCACCCAATTAAAATTGGAAACCTAGCAATCCTATTTGACTGATATGTATAAAGAATGGGACAATTAGCACAAACTTGCCCCACATCCCTCCCTTCTATGCATCTCAGCCTCCTTCCCTTCCTTTTTTTTATTTAATTGTTTTAAATTGTTGATTAAATATTTTATTTTTTACTAAGATTTTTTATCTAATTGATTAAATTGCTAATTGAAATATATCCTAAAGTACTAAGATTTGTATCATTTGAATTTTATTTCATTCCATCAAATTAACCAAAGTATTAAAGATTTATTGTAAATTTACTCAAATCCGCTTAGTTCGCTTAAACGATAGGCCTCATCCCGTCGCCCGACTAACGCTTACCGTCTTTGAGAACCATACGTGACAATGCAAAAAAGTAGTCAAATAATGAAACGACAATGTGTACGAGAAATAGAATTTCGCCATCAGATTTCAATGCATATTAGTTTATGATAGGATTACTTTGGCAGGAACAACCCATCTGAAAATTTTCTTAACTGATCAGTTGAACATGGAAAATGTGAACCACATGTTGTTGAGGTTGTGTCTTTAGGTCAATCTCATGGTTGATAGCTTTATATATATATATTAACAAACAATATTATCAAGATGGTGTGGGGAATAGGGCTAAGCCTCATAATGGACTAGCAATAATATGGTTCAAATTCGCCTTTAATAGGAATCGAACCTAAAATCTATCACTTACAAGTGAAGAGAAATACCATTAAACCGTAGTACAAAGTCATCATCTTGTAATATTATTCATTGGTGGCTACTCAATTTTTTGTAGACTTGGTTTGGTCATTTCTTAGCTAAAAGTTTCACTATTATTACTTTGTATCTTGCACGCGTATTTTTTATGAACTCAACTTCTTAGTTGATGCGCCAATCAATATTACAGTCCGGTGGTATTCCTCTTCATTTGAAAGTGAGAGGTTTTAGGTTCGAATCTCGTGGATGGCAATTCGATACCAAATTAGGTTGCTCATTGTGTGACTTAACCGAACTTCCCCTCCTTTTAATGTAAAAATATATTGATGTACTCAAAAAAAAAAAAAAAAACTTCTTAGTTGATGCTATTATATGTTTGAGTCATGTTATTAATGGAATTTGTATTTTGATCGTGTAGTATTTAATTTATTGACTTCCGTAACGAACAAAAAAAATATAATAATTGACTTTCGCTCTCTCTTATTTTATTGCATCATTGTACAAAATTTAAAGAAATCAACACACCAACATTTTTATTTAAGTGTTTTTCTTCAAATTGCTACTTAATCTCAATTTGCCTGTATTTTATACTTTTCAAGCTATCATCCATTTGGTCATTCTCTTGTTTCCTTTGAAGGACATATATTACAAAGAGAAAATTGTAGCAATGGTCTCTCAACTTCAATTTAATTGGAGCAATGGCTCTCAACTAAAAATATGTAACCAATTGTCCCTAAATCATCAAAACGTACAACTACGGTCATTTTTGTCAATTGGGTTAAAGTTGAGGGAATATTGCTACAATTTTCCCATTTGATTTTTCATATTTGCCCCTTGATTTAGCCTCACGTGCATGGCACGTGATTTATTTTGACAAAAGTTCTAACAAAGCAAATATTATCCCAAACTATTAAAAAAATTATTTGGTTTTTTCTTCATTTGCTCAATTTACTTGGTTCCTCATTTAAAAATCCACTTTTTTTCCTTATTTTTGTAAGGAGAAGAGGTTAAAGTTATTTAGGCTACGTTTGGCTAAGAAATGGCTACATAATGTTACATTGAGAGGATAAGAAATGCCCTTCATGAGCATTGCAAAGACATGTGAGTAATTTATAAATTCATACTTAAAAACTGTCATTTGCATTTCTCTCACAATTCCTTGTAATGCACATGGACGACATTTCTAAATCTCCTCTATCTCAGTCCTTTAGAACTTGGAAATCCCTTAACCGAACATAGTCTTAATATTGTTATGTACTATCATTGTGTTAACAGTGTATTACTTGCTAGTTTGTTTTGTTCTTAGTGGATCTCAATAAATTTTTCTTTTTACTAGAAAAAATAGTTCTTTATATTGTGTGAAGTGTCTCTTTTTGATTATTTTTTTGGCTTCACTCCTGATGTAGCGTCTTAGTCCAATAATGTGTTGACACTTGCAAGTTTTCTTACATAATAATATAGTATTTGACAGAAACACTAATGTGAAGATAAACTCGTTCTACGTAAATTGTTATCCACCCCCTTTGATTTAGATAAAAACCAAGTACTTGTTAGGTTAGGTGGGGCCTGTTGGAGTTTGTATGGAAATTGTCACATATCGTTAGTGTAAATATTATCAAGATACTTGATATTATAATCTTCATATTAATAGTAATTTGGTGCGAATAATATATTATATGGGTCTGTTGATAAAAGACCGAATAGGTATTTGGATAAGCCTAATTCAAAATTTCATACTTATCTCTTCAATTTGAATTTGACATATGCGGGCAGTTTCTTAACTTCCTAATACTTGTTGCGAAAGGATACCTAATATCTTATATAATAGCAAAGAGGTTAGACACAAGATATAGAATAATTATATACATCTACTGCATATAATATACATATCATTTGGAAGAGAAAGCATTCAAAGGTTCACCAGAATTCAAGGTTCCGATGCTAGAACTTTGAATTATAGATAGTTGGATCCTGGGGGACGGACGCTCGTTGAACTACAAGCACAGAGTAGGGGCGCTATTCTGTCTTTAGGACACTGCAAAATCTGCAGGCCTCTATCTTTTTGATCAAGTCAGTTTTTCTACTTTCTTGTTTCTTTTAGTTTACAATATTTCAATTACGAATTGAGTGCAATACAATATTTGATTATAGCTATTTCAGTTGTATATTATAACTTGTTTATCAATAAAGTTGTATTCTGATTGTTTGTTCCAACAATCTAAAGACAGAATTTGTGATGGATCAAACATCAGTGAACGCAACAGGCGTTAAGAATCCTTTCCCTAAGAACCCAGAGAAATTCAAAGGTGTGGACTTCAAAAGATGGCAACAAAAGATGTTGTTCGTTTTTACCACAATGAACCTAGCCCATGTTGTGAAAGAGGAGGCTCATATGGCGACTGAACTGCCAGCGGATAAGGACATGTTGTCTGCAATAGATGCTTGGACTCACTC